AAAAAAAAAAAAAAAAGAACTTGGTTTCAGGAGCCAGAGTCTCACTGAACTTCTGAACTTCAGTTTCCTCATCTGGATATGGCCCCTCGTGGGGTTATGGAGTCTGTTATAAGATGAAAATGTATAAAGCTTTGCCCAGTGCCTGGAACATCCTACATGTTCAGTAAATGTAGGCTGTTCATGTAGGTATGCATGTTTTTAAAGCTCGTAATAACAGTAAGCCCATTGCTTTTCTTACCAGCTGTTGAAACTCGAGTTGTTACAGACAATTGCTCCGAGGAAAGCAAGATCTTCACTTTGAATGTGCAAATGAACTCAATGGATATCCATTGCAATGACATTGTCCAGGGAAACATACAAGGTATGTGTGGTGGCTGCATGCAGAACCCCTAAGACACACAAAGTAACACCACTGTGAGTCCTGAGGAAATACCCCCAATAGGCTCCACCCGAGTGGGTCTGTTACCCTAAGACTGTGTCATCTGAGCCTTTTCCTTTAAAACAAAAAAAAGACATCTTCCTAAAGTGGAGGCTTTCTCTTCCTCAGCTTGGAAGAGACTTCTTTGCAATCGGGGCTGTTCTGTCCGGGTCTCGGTTTGGGTTCACCTGGAAGCAGTCCTCAGGACAAGTGTAAGGAGTTCAAGTATAAGGCGTTCATTTGGGGGTTGACCCCAGGAAGCAGCAATAGGTGTATTAGTCAGGGTTCTCCAGAGAAACAGAACCAACAGGATGTGCGTGCACAGAGAGACAGAGACAGAGATTTTAAGGAGTTAACTCGTGATTCTGGAGGGTAGCAAGTCTCAAATCCAGCCAGCCGGCTGGAGACCCCAGGGAGGAGTTGATATGCAGTTGAGTCTGAAGGTAATCTCTTCCTCGGAGGAAGTCAGTCTTTTTCTTAAGACTTTCCTCTGATTGGATGAAGCCCACCCACATTATAGAAGGTAATCTGCTTTACTCAAAGTCTACTGATTTAAATGTTAGTCTCATCTAAAAAATACCTTCCCAGCCACATCCAGACTGGCGTTTGACCAAATATCTGGGTACCTTGCGACATGACACATAAAATTAACCACCCCAGTAGGGGAGCCAGGAAGTGAGACAGGGAAGAGGAGACAGCCAATACAGGAATTACGATAGTGAGCAAGTTTCTGCTGGTGGTAACGGGCTCAGTCTCGCCCACCTATCCCATTGAAGGAGAGGGAGCGGCTGCTGAACCACCTGCTCTGGTACATCACTGGGTGAGTGCCCTTCCGGGGAGTGGGGGATAAACTTCCAGGCCCTTCCAGTCTGCGCTGTGTACTAACAGACATTCACTCCAGGGAAGGCCCCCAGGCAGTCACAGCTGCTTGCAGTGGAATTCATCCCTCGGCAATGAGAAACCGAGAACATCAGGAGAATCAAGTCAGGGTGCCCGGAGCATCCGCTACAGACCATGCAAAAGGGACGATTGTTACTATTACTTGTCCCAGAGTTGCCAGACTCCCCGATTTTTCAAGAGAACCCAAAATTTGGGCTGTTTGCATGAATACCTCCAATTTTTAAATTTGGCAAGAATACTTTTCCTACAACTGCCATATAGTTATAACTGCTCTAGCACGTTCGATGGGCTCTTAAAATCCAGTCACATACACGTGGGTACAGCTGGTCTGTATTATCGCCCAAAGCCCCAAAGTCAAGACAATGAAACACAGATACTAACCACACGCTGACCTGAGAGTCTCTCGAGGCAATTCATTCCCATCACTTTCTCTCTCCCCCAAGAATATAAGAACTTGAATCTGCCTCCATTTCAGGATGGGCCGGGTGGAGGATGGAAGCCAACCTCCAATCACGCCATTTCACACTTGCTCTGTTACTCACAATTCGTAGAGCGTGTGCAGGCCAGGCACAACATCTCTGCAGCCCACTTTGCTCCTCGGTCACATTCCAAGATACTGGGGGTTAGGGTCTCAACACGTGAGTTCAGGGAGGATACGACTCGGCCTGTAATAACTGCCTATGCTGAACTGTTTAAGTAAATGCAGACACAGCGCTGTGGTTGCCTCGAGGCACACCTGCATAGATATGCCCAGCAGGAGACTGCGTACCGCCCCCTAATGGGCCCTGTGAGCTCACCTCCCAGTGTTGCTTTGGCTGTGCCTCCGCCGGGAATGCCAGCCACCACTCCACTGGGTGAACTTTCACTCTGCGTTCAGCACAGCTCCCCTTTCACCTCCTCCAGGATGCCTCCTGGGACTGCCCACTTCCAACGCAGCACCGGAGTCCAGCCCTGCCACTCTGTGCTCCCTCAGCATCTCCAACCTACCTGATCCTGGCGTCTAAGGTGTTGTGTTGTTTCTGTTGGTTGGCATGTCCCTGTCCCCCCATCACACTGGAGTCCCCATAACAGTAGAAACCACAAATTCTCTCCATATATAGTCACCGTTATGGGCACAGTACCTGGAGAACAGTGACAAATGTTCCTTGAATTAAATCCACATTAGGTTAAGGCCTCAACATTCCTGACGAGAGAAAAGGATCCATTGACAGGTTCATGACAAGCTCATAGAGGGACATTTCTCTGTCCTTCAGGTTCTGAATAGGGCTGGTCATTCTTTGCTGTGGGGGCCATCCTGTGCCCGGTAGCATGCTGAGAGCCCCCCTGGCCTTTATCCACTAGACGCCAGTAGCAACCCCCTAGTGGTGACAACCAGAAGTGCTTCCAGACGTTGCCCAAGGTCCCCTGAGGGACGGAATCGCCCCCAGTTGAGAACCGCTGGTGTAGAGCGACCTTGTCATTTATCTCCAAATGGTGACAGTTTTAAGATTGGAAGGGGGTGCTATTAAATTACACCAGTAACATTGGTTTGGGACATTATACTTCAATAAAATAAATAAATCCTTTAATATACAGCTATAAATAAATAATAAATAACACCGGGACAGCAGGCGTGAACTGGGATGGTTGCAGGTAACCCGAGACATACCATCACATGACCCCACACACACACAGTAAAACTTCTCAGAGCACAAACCCAGCCACGGAGACCGGCCTCGGAAACCTCTGCGGCCTCTCTTCTCTGCTTGAGATTTCGCTCCTACACCAGAATGTTTCAGCTCAAAAACAAGTGGTTTCTAACCCTCAGAACAGGTGGTTGTACCACCTGTTTTCCAACCATCTACTGCTGTTTCCTTCTGACAAACGGAAACTGCCGTGAAATCAGAGAAACAGAAGTGAATCTCCACTCTGATCCCTCAAGCGAGGCCACAGAAGCCTGATTAGAGAAACCTGCCGAGGGATTTATTCTAGTGGGATGACCCACACAGCTAGAGAGCGGCAAAGCCGAGATTTGAATCTAGAAACCTAGTGCCTGCCCCTCCACCCTTGACTACTCACTGATATGGCCCCTTTGCCATGTTGACTTCTCAGCAGCTACAAAGAATGATGGATGCTTACTGACATGGGAAAATGTTCATAACATATAATATATACGTGTATGCATTAGATTGCCAGGGCTGACATAACAAAATACCAGACTCAGTGGCTTAAACAAGAGAAACTTATTGTCGCACCGTCTGGAAGCTGGAAGTCCGAGATCAAGGTGTCGGCAGGGTTGGTTTCTCCTGCGGCCTCACTCCTTGACTTACAGATGGCCACCTTCTCGCTGTGTCCTCACATGGTCTTTCCTCTGTGCGTGTGCAGCCCTGGTGTCTCTTTGTGAGTCCAAATATCCTCTTATTATAAGGACACTGGTCAGATTGGATTGGGGCCCACCCTAACGGCCTCATTTTAACTTAATCACCTCTTTAAAGGCCCTCTCTCCAAGTGCAGTCATATTTTTTTTGCAGATTTTATTTTTTTTTCAGGTGTACATCATTGTACTTCAATTTCTGTGTAGATTACGTCATGTTCACCACCCAAAGACTATTTATAATTGTGCCTAATCACAGCTTTTGCCCTCCTCTCTCCCCCCTTCCCCTCTGGTAACCACCAATCCAATCTCTGTCTCCATGTGATTGTTTGTTGTTGTTTTTATCTTCTGCTTATGAGTGAGATCATATGGTGCTTAACTTTCTCCCTCTGAATTATTTAGCTTAGCACAGTACCCTCAAGATCCATCCATGTTGTCACAAACGACTGGATTTCATCGTTTCTCTTGGCTGAGTAGTATTCCATTGTGTATATACACCACATCTTCTTTATCCATTCACCCCTTGATGGGCACCTAGGTTGCTTCCAAGTCTTGGCTATTGTGAATAAAGCTTAGGATTGCTCTCGGCCAGCCATGAAGTGCTGCGGCTTGCAAAGGTGGCTTTTTTTTTCTCCAGAAAGGAATTTCTGCCTCTTCCACCTCAGTCAGCACCATCCCTCGTTGTGGGGTTTCTTTTTATCCAGTTTTCAGTTCTCTCTCAGGGGTAATTGTCCCAAGAGTAGTTGTAAATTTGTTCTGTCCATGGGAGGAGGTGAGTTCAGAGTCTGCCTACACCGCCATCTTGACACCAACCCATATAGTCACATTCTTAAGTACCAGGAGGGAGGGGGGAAGTAGGACTTCAATACACGAATTTTGGGGGAACACAATGTAGCCCATAACACTAGCCAACTGACATGTCATGCACATGTCCTACTAACATATAATAAAATTATAAATATATGATATAAATATATCAAGTACATATATATTTTTAGCCTGTTAAAGTATGTCGAATTATGGCATTCTGTGCTTAAATCCTTCAGTGGCTTTCCACTGGCTTAAAATAATAGTAAAAGTCCTCCCCAAGGCCCATAAGGTCCTGTAGGGTCTGCCCCTGTCCCCTCCCTGCCCTCACCTCCTCCCCCTCTCCCCTTCACTCACTCTGCTTCAGCCACACTGGCCTCCTCGCTGTTTCCTGAACAAGCTGAGCACGTTCATACCCCCAGGATTTTGCCCCTGCTATTTCTTCCACCTAGAGCTCTCTTTTCTTGGATATCCACACAGACCTCCCTCCCTTCACTCTGCTGTCTGGAAACTGGCTAAAATCTCTCTCTGTTCTCTTATCTTGATTAATTTTCTCCATAGGACTAATGTTCTCTGATATACTCCTATATTTATTTGTTAACATTTTTTTTGCGTGTCTCCTGCACCAGAAAGTAAGAGCTGTAAGAGCAGAAACTCAGTTTATTTTGTCCCCCAATGTGTCCAGGGGATAATGTCTGGAACATAGTAAGCATTACATTAAAAACAATAGGTTGATAGAGATAGATACATACATACATACATACATGGATGGATGGATGGATGGATGGATAGAAAGATAGATAGATACATAGATAGATACATAGATACATAGATAAGATGGATGGATGGATGGATGGATGGATGGATGGATGGATGGATAGATAGATGATACATAGAAACATAGATATAGATAGATACATAGATATAGATAAATGGATAGAGATAGATGATAGATAGATAGATAGATAGATAGATAGATAGATAGATAGATAGATAGAAATAGAGATATATTATGATTTGCATATATATGACTTAACTCTAGATCTGGTTTACATATATAATATAGAGAGAAAGGAAATTATTAGATACATACACACATAGAGATGAAGATACATGTAACCCAACTACAAATGGATTTCCTTGGGTCCAGTCTCAGCATTATGTTTCATCCAAAAGAAATGAAACCAATTCTAAAAGTCTTGAAAAATAAGTCAGTCTTTGCTGAAGTCTCTTCAAGAGGCAGCAGAGGGAGTGGAATGACATCACAAGAGACTTGCTAACTCCCTAAGCGTCCTCTCCACGGCTGCCCACTCTCTCTCCTCTCTTCCTCCCTCAGATGCCGTCTGCTTCTGCCTCGTCTCTGCCTCTCCTCCCACATTTCCACCGTTTTCTTCTAAGGGGAGATCCATGTCATGTATTATGTAAATCAGCTTAGCCTCCCTTGGTTGTTACAGTTCTTCTGGTCTCCCAAGTTTTACCTCGTTCAATACAAAAAAAGGCTTCAGGGCCACAAACGCAAAGTCTGCCTCAGAATGTTAGAAAAGGAGAGACTCTATGAAAATCTCTATTTTCACCCTCATGAATCTGAATGTGTACATATACATGTTTATGTCTATACACATCTGTGTTTGTGTGTGGACGTGTGTATATCTATATCCAAACATATATATCATTTTTTTAAAAATAAATAATGACTTTCTGGAAAATATCAATGAATGCACGTCAAACATCATATTCAACTCATTAATTAATGAAGGAACCAATAAAATGTTAAGGCAAGTTCAAAGGCAATTTGAAGAACAGATACACACACACCTGCGTGCATATCCATACATGGGACAGTCACGAATGCTGAAATCAATATGCTGACAGATGCAAAAACTAATTAATATCCTATAGGGCAACATAATGTAATGTTTGGGGTTACATTTTCTACAGGGCATAAAGCAGCCACATGTCTACCAGACAAAATGCATTTGTGTCTATGGAAAGAACCATTTGTGCTACTATCAGTTTCTACATGTCATCTTCTATCCTACAGAGTTGTGAAATTGCTTGGCAATCGCAAGTCAATAAAAGATGCAAACTCCCATGGAATCAGATAATCCTTGATAGGCAGCTTTCCACTGGAGGCAGATCTGGTCATAGCTTTCACCCATTAACAGTTCTTGGACATGCACGTATGTTTGGATACACAAATATATGCCTAGAAAAAATCCAGAACTCCAACAGTGATCATGTCTGAGTGGTGGAATTCTGCATGGATGGTATTTCATTTTCTTTTTTCTCTTCTTCTTATAAAAATTGTTTCATTTATTTTTACAGCAAATAAATTGTGGTGTATCAAATAATGTGACACCCTACAATAAGTAAAAACATTAACCAAATATACATTTACTGGTAGGACTAGATCTTGAAAATATTAACTGGAACGACAAAAGAAAGTTGAAAAAAAAAATCCAAAGTGGGATACCGTTTATGTGAACTTTTAAACACAGAAAACAATCCTATATATTGTTATGGAAACATACATATGTAGTAAATCACAAAAGCATTCATGGAAAGGCTACACTTGAAGTCTGTGGTTATTTCTGGAGAAGGAAAAAAGCATGAAATAGTGGGAGGTTTAACCGTATCTGAAACATTTTATTTCTTTTTTTTTCCCACTTTTTTTTATTGAGGTAACGTTGGCTTATAATATTATACAAATTTTAGGTGTATGTCATTATACTTCATCTTATGTATAGACTACATTGTATTGACCACCAAGTCTAGTTGCCGTTCGTCACCATACACATGTGCCCCTTTACCCCTTTCACCCTCCTCCCGCCCCTTCCCCTCTGCAACCACCAATCTGTTCTCCATATCTATGTGTTTGTTTGTTTATCATTCACATATGAGTGAAATCATACAGTGTTTGTCTTTCTCAACTTATTTCATTTAGCATAATACCCTCAAGGTCCATCCATGTTGTCACAGATGGCAAGATTTCAGCTTTTTACGGCTGAGTAGTATTCCATTGTGTATATATACCACATCTTCTTTATCCATTCATCCATCGATGGACACTTAAGTTGTTTCCAAGTCTTGGCTGTTGTGAATAATGCTGCAATGGACATAGGGGTGCATGTATCTTTTCAAATTACTCTTTTTGTGTTCTTTGGTTAAACACCCAGAAGTGGAATAGCTGGATCATAGGGTATTTCTATTTTTAATTTTTTGAGGAATCTCCATACTGTTTTCCAAAATGGCTGCCCCAGTTTGCATTCCCACCAGCAGTGTGTGAGGGCTCCCTTTTCTCCATATCCTCTCCAACACTTGTTATTTCTTGTCTTTTTAATAATAGCCATTCTGACGTGTGTGAGGTGATATCTCATTGTGGTTTTGATTTGTACTTCCCTAATAATTAGTGATGTAAAACATTTTATTTCTTTAAAAAATAATTTTGAAGTTAATCTGACAAAATGATAATATATATGTTAAATCCGGATGTAGATGTCAGTTGTGTCTTTTTTTATACTTTTCTGAAGGTTTGAAATATAAATTAAACTTTTTAGGAAACAAAGAAGATATTTTAAAAGAATTCACCATTTACCACATGCTTGGCACTGTGCAGGGGGCTCTGTGGTTTCCAAATAAAATGTTCTGTATAGTCACTCAGGAAGTTGAGTGCCCATTGGGAAAATAGAATTCAATCCACATGAAATAATGCGTGGACAGTGGAATTCTCACTGGCGCGGCAAGGGCTGCACTGGAATATGAGTTCAGAGACAGAAGCACTGCGAGCTGCTGGAGAAGACTTCCTGAGCCAGAGGCTGGGTTTGAGCTGGGTCTTTGAGGATGAGTTGCATTTGGGTAGGAAGAGCATGGGAGGAAGAATGAACTTCCTAAGCACACCTGGGCACACCTGAGCAGGTGTGGCGATCAGGGAGATGTAGCAGGTGTGAGGTGGGGAAGAGGGACAGAAGGAATGGTGGAACTTTTTAAGACTCCATTTTCCTGTTTCCTCAGGTCCCAGTGCAGTCGCCTTCATTTCATACTCCTCTCTTGGAAACATCATAAATGCAACTTTTTTTGAAGAGATGGATGAGAAAGATCGAGTTTACCTGAACTCCCAAGTAGTGAGTGCTGGTATTGGACCCAAAAGGAACACATCTTTCTCCAAGTCTGTGACTCTGAGTTTTCAGCACATGAAGGTGGGTCAAAGCCGCAGCCTGAACTTGCTCAGGTTTCATGGGGGTGGACCGAACAACCTGCTCCTCCTCCCAGTCAGGAGTTGTAGACCTGCGACGTCCAATATGGTAGCCAGAGGCCACCCATAGCTATTGAGCATTTGAAATGTGGTGGGTCTGAACTGAGATTTTGAAGACTTAGTATTTCTGGGTTTAGATGTAATATTTCCAGATTTTGAAGACTTAGTAAAAAAAAGAATGTAAAATATCTCCTTAATAATTTTTATACTGATTACATGTATTTATTTATATTGACATATTAAAAGATACTATTTTCAATGTAGTGGGTTAAATAAAATATATTATTAAAATTAATTTGACCTGTTTCTTTACCTTTTTTAACATGGCTGGTAGAAAATTTCAAGTTACATAAGTGGCTCACATGATATTTCTCTTGGGTAGCATTATTCTAGTTCATGGAATTATTTTGACTGCAGGTACCTCCTACGTCTGTGAAATTTGAACTGGAACATAATATTCATTCTCGCACAGGAGACTAGCATTAATTATAAAGACTACATAACTTGATAAGAAAAAATTTTTTTATTTAATCCATTACCTCTTCCCATGTTCTGCACTAACTCTTAAAGGCAGGACGGTCAATAGCCAGACATAGACATAATAAAATTCATTTACTCCCTTCCCTTTCAACTCTGTTAAGAAAATAAGAGTTGAAGAAAACCCTACCACTTGCGACAACATAGATGAAATTTGAGGGCATTATGCTAAGTGAAATAAATCAGACAGAGAAAGACAAATACTGTGTGATCTCACTTATATGTGGAATCTTAAAACTCCAAACTCATAGAAACAGAGAACAGATTGGTGGTTGCTGGGGATGGGAGGTGAGGGAAATAGGTGAAAGTGATCAAAGGGTACAAAATTCCAGGGGCCAGCCCTCTGATGTAGTGGTTGGGTTCTCATGGTCCTCACCAGTGGCCCTGGGTTCTCGGGTTCAGATCCCAGGCTCGCATATACACACTACACATCAAGTCATGCTGTGGCAGGGTCCCACATACAGAATGGAGGAGGATTGGCACAGATGTTAGCTCAGGGCCAATCTTCCTCACCAAAAAAAAAAGGTACAAACTTCCAGTGATAAGATGCATAAGTTCTGGGGATGTACTGATATACAGCGTGGTGACTCTAGTTAACAATACCGTATTGTGTATTTGACAGTTGCCAAAAGAGTAGCTGTTAAAAGTTCTCACCACAAAATAAACATTGTAACTCTGTGAGGTGATGGATATTAACTAACCTCACTGTGATAATCGTTTTGCAATATACACATAGATCAAATTGCTACATTGTACACCTTAAACTTACACAACGTTATATGTCAATTCTATTTCAATAAAGCTGGAAAAAATAAATAAAACTAAATTTTAAAAAAATTTTCAAGAAAATAAGAGTTAAGTGGGAGAAGGCTGGGAAATGTAGGTATTCTCTATCTGATGCATAAAATCTAGGAATAGAATTTTTGATGTATGGCATGAGGCAGTGGGAGAGGAGCAAGAAATCTGGGGATGGTCCAGTGGGTTAACAAAGGAGATACAGCCCCAGACAGGAGAGCACCCACTCGTCTCCTTGGCCTCAGGAAGTGATGCTCTGGAAGCCCTTACGACAAGGACAAGAGGCTGAAAGCTAATGTCATGCTCTCTCCTGGTGACATTTCTTTCCTACATTCTCCCTCTCATCACAGGAGCAATTATTGTGTTGTAAGAGGTCGGGACAGAATTGATGTGAAGGGACAGGGAAATAGGGCTTAAAGAGTATGTGGAAGAAGAATTTATATAACCCTTACACTCCTTCTGTGTGACTCCCATGGTGGTGGACAGAGTCCTGACACCAGTGACATCTTATCAAATGCTGGCTCTGGGAGAGGGCAATGATCTTGTCCTACGGTATGTGGAATCCCAGTAGAGCTGGGACTAGGGGGCAGGTATCCTGGCCGCCATCCTCTTCACTTAAAGTAGAAATCACCTGAGTCACTTGTAACCCAGGCGTCTCCTCGTTCGCCCCCCCCCCAGTGTAGACTGACTCTCTGAGGGTTGTCCCTCTTGAGCAAGAACGTGACTAGCCCATTCTATTTTCAGATGAGGCACGGCAGCAATAAGGTCTTCTGCGTCTACTGGAAAAGCACGAACGGGGACGGCCACTGGTCCCGGGATGGCTGTTTCCTGAAAGAAGTGAACGAAAGTCACACCACGTGCAGTTCCACCCACCTGTCCAGTTTCGCTGTCCTCATGGCCTTCAACAGCCAGGTATGATGTAACCTTTAATTCCTCTGCCTAATCCTATTTGAGCCTCTACTGGGTGGTGATGAGTGCTATAAAGAAAACGAAGAAGAGGGAGCGACTGGGGAGACTGCAGACAGCCTGCTGCTCCAGACAGAGTGGTCAGGGGGGCCTCTGTTGGAAGTTAATATCTGAGCTGAAATCTGAATGTTGAGTCAGCAGTGCTGCAACGTGGATGAACCTCGAAAAGATCCTGCTGAGTGAAAGAGCCAGACGCAAAAGATCACATCGTGTGTGGTTCCATTGATATGAAATGTCCAGAACAGGCAAATCCACGGAGACAGAGAGCAGATTAGCGGTTGTGAGGGCGGGGGAGAGGGAGGAATGGGGACGCAGTTGGGGGGAGACTCCTTAATGGGCCTGGGGTTTTATTTTTCAGGGATGAAAATGTTTTGGAACTAGACAGAGGTGGTGGCTGCACAACACTGTGAATGTACCAAATGCCACTGAAAAATGTTCACTGTAAAATAATTTCATATTATTTGGATTTTATCTCTGTGATATTGTGATGTATAATAAGAAATACATATTTGGTCTTTTCCCCTTTTCTGGCACAGAGTTCCTAAAAGCCTTGTAATTTCCTAAGTGAAAGGTGATAAAGATGTCATTGGTTATGTTAATGAGGTGATTTTTGGAAAGCCCCTAAGGATGGGGGCTGGTTGCCAGGGGACCCAACCCTCTGGTTAGAGGGTTGGAACTTTCAGTTCCCCTCCCAGCCTCCGGGGAGGGGAAAGGGGCTGGAGGATCAATCGGTCAGTTGTGCTTGTGTAATGAAGCCCCCATAAAAACCCAAAAGGAGTGGGTTCAGAGAGATTCCACGCTGGCAAACATGTGGAGATTTGGGGAGAGTGGCTTGCTCAGAAGCTCCATGCCTTCCCCGTACCTTGCCCTACGCATCTCTTCCATCTGACTGTTCTTGAATTATATCCTTTTATAATAAACCAGTGATCTAGTAAGTAAAATATTTGACTGAGTTCTATGAGCTTCTCTAGCAAATTAATCAAACCCAAGGAGGTGAGGTCGTGGGAACCTCCAATCTGTAGCTGCCAGAAGCACAGGTGACAACCTGGGCTCGCAACTGGCTTCTGAAGTGAGTGGAGGCCAGTCTTGGGGTACTGAGCCTTTGACCTGTGGGATCTGACGCCACCTCCAGGTAAATAATGTCAGAATTGAGCTGAATTGTAGGACTCCCAGCTGGTATCCAAGAATTGTTTGTTGGCTATGTGGGGAAAACCCACACACACAAACATTGGAATTGGGTCCTCGAACCTTCTAACCCCAATAAAAAAGTCAGTAGGAAAAAGTCTCAGGGAAAAGCATCCCAAGAAGAGATACACATATGTGTAAAGGCCCAGAAGAAGGAGCAAACCTGGTGTGTTCCAGAAAGAAGTGTGGCCGGAGCAGAGTGAGTGACAGGAAGTGGAAGGAGACAGGCTGGAGAGACGGGAGCAGGGAAGATGTGTCAGGCCTCGAATGCCACGGTCAGAAATTTAGATTTCCCTCTGATTGCAATGGGAAAGCAATGGAGGATTTGCATGAGGGATGCTGCATATTTATGTCATTAGAAGATCCCTCTGGCTCCCGGGTCAAGAATGGATGGTGGTGCAGCAAGAGTGGACTCGCAGAGAGGTGATGGTGGCCAGGATTCGGGTGGCAGCAGTAGAGGTGGTGGGAGTAGGTCAGACCGGACACGTATCCTAGAGATGGGGTCGGAGGACTCACTGATAATACAGGCTGGGTGATGACACATCCCTCTCCTCCTTACAGGGATGGAGGTAGTGCCCTCAGAACAACGCTTGTTGGAAATCTCGGACCCCTCCTATTGCACAGGGCAGTGGGAAAGCTAAAATAAGTTAAAAAACATAAAATACTTCTTTCATTCATCATTGCATTAATCAAATTCATCTATGAGTTGGGCATAGCCTTAGTTCATTCATTTTCATTGATGTATAATGTTCCTTTGCTTGACTATACTATAATTTACTTATCCATTCTACAGTTAATGGATATCTAGGTTGTTTCCTGTTGGGGCTATTAAAAGCAATGCTAGTTTTCTGGGATAAAGTACAGAAAATCCCACGTTGGATCCTCCAGGGCAATGAGGAAGCAATATACTCCAGAGGGTACAGGTACAAGATAGTGAAGCCTCTGTCACCATGGTTTCTAAGTGACGGCATGGAGCAGAATATTGCTCCATCAAAGTCAAAAAACAGACACAACTACACTATATTCTCAGGGGTTGCGTACATAAGTGGTAAAACTATAAAGAATTGCTTTTCATAAAAGGATCATGGCTTCTCTAGGGAAGAAGGTGGTTTGCAACTGGGAAGAGCTTCTGGAGTAGTGTCCATAGACTAGTACACGATCTGAGTGTTTAATAATTATCAACCATATAACACATTGACATTTATGTTCTTTTCCATATGTGTGTTATATTTCAAAATTTTTTAACGTTAAAAAAGCAAAGGATTTAAAAGTTCTATAAAGTGGCATCGAAATAAATTAAAATACCCATATAGTTATAAGGGATGATGACTATCGTTTCCCGTTAGTGAGTCTCGCTAAGTCTGTTTGGCTTACCAGACCCCTGGCCCTTGTCTTTAATGAGATGAGTCCCCAAGAGCTGAATTAGACAAGGTGTCTTACTTTGGGGTCACCTGCAAGCAGGTCCTGAGACAGGATTTGAGGGCAAGTAGTTTCTCTGGGAGGTGAGCCCGGGACACATCAGCAGGACAGTAGGGAAGTGAGAAAGGGAAGAGAAGGCAGCCCGTAAAGGATGTGTTAAAGAGAAAGTTAACCTCATGGACAGACAACTGGGGCTTAATCCCATTGGGTACTTTTGGGAGATATCGTAGGACATGCACTAGGAGCCATCCACACAAGGGCACGGGAGCTGGGGCATTTATCCACCAGTTCCCCACTATCATTGTTGGAGGGCAGCTCCCACAGGCATTAATGTCCTGGCCCTTGTGACCCTGTGGTGTATCTAAGCATGCCCACGTGGCAGGACAAATACCCTCAGTCAGGGTCACTGGAGTTCACAGGAAGCAGCTGAAGGGCAGGGACAGGCGACTGTGAAGAGATTAATAGCCTCTGCTGCACAGGGCTTCCTACGTCTCTTTGGGCGAAGACTTAGTCGGGCATATCCATTCATTTCAACTTGAACCTGCTGTACAACATAGAGCCTATGGTTAACAATATGGTGTTGTGCACTTAAAAACTGTTAAGAGAGTAGATCTCATGTTGTGATTCCACCACAAAAAAACAGAGAGAGACACAGGCATCTTTTGGAGGCGATGGGTATGTTTATCACCTTGATTGTGGGGATGGCATCATGGACGCCTATGTCCAAACTCATCAAAATGTCTGCATTCGGTAGGAGCAGTATTCTGTATACTACATAAGCTTCAATAAAGCTGAAAAAAAGACTTAGTCTGACAGACACTTCACACACTCCCTATCACCGGCTTTGTGCCTGTGTTTGGGATGCCCTATTCCGAGGGAGGACAATCATAATCCCAGAGCAGGAAGGGGTGACTGTGGTCTCTTTGCCGGGTCCCAGGAGGAGGACCCTGCGCTGGCTGTGATCACCTACGTGGGGCTGGGCCTCTCTCTGCTGTGCCTCCTCCTGGCAGCCCTCACCTTCCTGCTGTGCAGAGCCATCCAGAACACCAGCACCTCGCTCCACCTGCAGCTCTCCCTCTGCCTCCTCCTGGCCCACCTCCTCTTCCTCACAGCCATCGACCGAACCGAGATCAAGGTACTGACCCTGTCCCAGTGGACCCTCTGCCCTGCCCCAGGGGTGCTGAGTCCATGGAACCATGCTGCACTGGACACTGTAATAAATGATCTTGTGTCTTGGGGAAGGTGAGGAGTGAGTAGCCTGTTTCACATTGACTGATGCGACTGGAAGACAAACCCTCTCTGACAACTCCTTCATGCTCCTCAGAGTCCTCCCCAGGGGCAAGGTGCAGGAGAGGTCCTGGGCCACCCTCCACCCTGACTGTCCCTCCTGCTGACACCTGCCTCCACCCCCAGGTGCTGTGCGCCCTCATCGCGGGTGCCTTACACTATCTCTACCTGGCCTCCTTCACCTGGATGCTGCTGGAGGGCCTGCACCTCTTCCTCACTGCTCGCAACCTGATGGTGGTCAACTACACCAGCGAGAGCAGGTTCATGAGGAAGCTCATGTTCCCTGTGGGCTACGGGGTCCCGGCTGTGATTGTGGCCATTTCTGCAGCATCCAGGCCTCACCTTTATGGAACACCCGATCGGTGAGCTTGACTCTCACCCTGTGCCGTGGACAGTTTTGAGGGCAATGTTAACGACAACGATTGGGATAGCCACATGAATGTTCTCTGCTTTCTCCCTAAGTGTAACAGCTCTAACCTCTTTCCCAGTGAGGCAGGGAAAGATGACAGCAAGAGCATGGAAGGTTCTGGAAGGAGGGAGTTTTGCAGTTAGATACCAGCTTCATCCCTCCCATAATTTGGGACCTCGAGTCCTCAAGTCTTAGTCCCCTCAATAGCAAAATGGGGATAATAGTCATCCCCATGGTCCTACCTTCACAATGCTGGTGTGGAAATTCAACAGGACTGTGCTTAAGTTTAATGTAGTATTAAAACATGTAGTGAACAGTCAGAGCCTTCGGTGTCATAAACTGACATTTTCAGGAGACATTGGAAGTTCTCTGTTAGGAAAAGGTGTCACTTCATGTTTGTTTTGTGTGTGGTCTCTGATCTCTCTTTCTGTCCCTTTTTGCACGCTTCCCAGCTGCTGGCTCCACGTGGACCAGGGATTCATCTGGGGTTTCCTCGGCCCCGTCTGCGCCATTATCTGTGTGAGTGAGTACGTGGCTCTGGTGTTCCTGACCAAAGAAGCGCCAGGTGCGCTGGGTGCCAGATAGTACAAGGGGCATCCATTTTCTCAGCTGTATGATTTGATTTTTCCACCTTCTACCAGTTCAATCCCACGTGCAGGGAGGTAGGAGTGGTGTGCGATTTACAGTGGACATGGCACATTATTTTAACTTGCCTTCTGCATGGTCTGTGTCGTTCCTGCAGGTGAATTTAGTATTTTTCCTCTTGGTTCTCTGCATTTTGAAAAGGAAATTTTCCTCTCTCAACAGTGAGGTGTCAACCATCCAGAATGTAAGGTAAAATGGGATAATGGCATTTTTCGACCCCCTTCTCCTCTACTCACCTCCTAATATCCACACACACATACGCGCCACAACCAGGCTCCAGGGACTCACAAGACCACAATTAATTGTCACAATTAATGAGAAGCTGGATTAGCTAGAGTACAGGCCAAGCTGCTGTGACCAAAAGCCCCAAGAAAAAGAGTGAAATAGAAGTTTATTTCATTCTCATGTCCCAGTCCAGAGGTGAGCAGTCCAGGGCTAGTGGGGAAGCTTTGCTCCACACAGTGATCCAGGGACTGAAGTTCTTTCTGTTTTGTTGCTCCACCATGCCCTAGGAAGTTGTCTTTATCAGTATCCCATCCACGGGAAGGCGTTGACGTGGAGGTCGCATGTTTCACATTTGCTCATATACTATTGGCTAGACCTTGGTCACATGGTGATGCCTCGCTGCGAGGGAGGCTGGGGAATGTAGACTCTAGCCAGGTCGCTGTGTGTCCTTGACAAAACTCAAAAAGAGAAGGGCTCTAACACTAAAAGGAAGAAGAAGAGATGGAAAAAACCAGCAGTTTCCACCACTCAACACGAGATGCACTAGGAAAGATTTAGACTCAAATATATTTTACACAATGCTATTTCAAAAAATTTGGGGCTATGAGTATTTTTTTATTTTGCAGGATAATTTTTCATTTGAACATGAAATTTGTTGTTGCTTTCATTTTAACCACAAAAATAACACAAATGTTAAAAATTCTTAATATTTTATAAAATATACAAAGTAAAAATTATGAGTGGCTAACTCCCGCTTTTCCTGAGACTTCCACTTCCCCCAGAAGCCAGAGGTAAGAAACTGTGTGATATGATGTGTGTAATATTTTCCCCAGACCTTTTTCTGTGCGTTTTCTGTAGAACAGACAGGCACACCTACAGTAGCCTCACACTATGCAAATTTCTCCTTAGCTAGCTTTCCTCACTTATGTAATATTATATTTTAAAATTAGGGATATACAGGTGCTGGCCTGGTGGCACAGTGGTTAAGTGCGCATGCTCCGCCTCGGCGGTCCGGGGTTCGCAGGTTCGGATCCCGGGTGTGCACCGACACACCGCTTGTCAAGCCATGCTGTGGCAGTGTCCCATATAAAGTAGAGGAGGATGGGCACGAATGTTAGCCCAGGGCCAGTCTTCCTCAGAAAAATAAATAAATAAAATAAAATTAGGGATATATAGATTCTTAAGTAGGGTGACCTTACATCTAGGTTTGCCTGGGACAGTCCCAGTTTATGCCTGTTGACCCATTGTAATTATTAACTAGCATCCCTTTTTATCTCAAAAGCCTCCCTGTTTGAATAACAAATTATATGACACTGCCTATCTATAAATGATGTAGAGAGCGAGAGAGCACCCAGTTTTAGAATGCTTTATGTATGGCACTAGTTTTGTTCTGTATGCTGTCCTAAATACTTTACATATGTTAAGGCTTCATTTAATCTTGGCAGCAACTCTCTGAAATAGGGCTATTATAAACATGACGACGCTGAGTTACAGAAAGATAAAGTACTCATCCAAGGTCACACAGTCCGTTAGTGCTGCCTTGGGTTTAAAACTGGGCAATCTAGCTCCAGAGTCCTCGCCATTAACAACCATGCTATAGGGGTGTTCATGTCCATTATTAGCTTTTTTACATCGTTGTTTATGACTCTTCCCAGGATGCTGACATTTAAAGCCACAGCTCAGCTCTTCATCCTGGGCTGCACGTGGTGTCTGGGAATCCTGCAGGTGGGTCCAGCTGCCCACGTCATGGCCTACCTCTTCACCATCATCAACAGCCTGCAGGGCGTCTTCATCTTCCTGGTGTACTGCCTCCTCAGCCAGCAGGTAAACACTGACCTCTTTCTTTATTGTTTTAAAGTTAAGAAATCTTTGGAGGTATGTTGTTTAATGAACATCTAAATCCATATTCTCTAGATTTTCATATGAGCTTGTGAGCAGTGCGTAAACACTGCCTATATTTTTCTCTACTTTAAGATACTGTTGATTATAAGATACACCAATTTATTAATGGCTTACAGAAAGTAAATAATTGCTACATCAAGGATATATGTTTTTCTTCAGCTTTCCCATTTGTAATAGTCAGCTATTGCTGTGTAACAAATAACCTCAAAAATCTCAGTGGCTTAAACATGAATATTTACTTTTCTCCTTCTCGAGGCAGCAGGTTGATTGAGACTCAGCTGATCTTGGCTGGGCTCAGCTTGGCTTGGCTCCAGGAGGTAGGTCATGTTCAGGCCTGCTCTTTGTGACTCATCCTGAGGCTTGGAAGAAAGGGAAGCAGCTCCCTAACATAAGTTCTTCTCATGACAATGGCAAAATCACAAGAAAGCGAGCTCTACTGGGCAAGGCCATTTCAGGTCCTGTGATTCTCTTTGCATCGCCTACACTAATATCCCATTGACCAAAGAAAGTCACATGTCAAGCCCAAAGTCAGTGGGAAAAGAATGCACTACCTGCCACGAGGCTAAGACAGGGTGTAATGACTACAGCAGAAGAGTGAATAATTGAGATCAGTAATGCAGTCTACCACACCACTTAACATGAGTTCTTAAACATGTTTCCATGCGATGGCATAGTCTCCATACTATTATGTTTTAATTAAATTACATAATAAGCTAATTTTTCCAACATTTTACTATGAACATTTTCAAGCATACAAAAAAGTTGAAAGAATTATACAGTGAACACATATATACCAATCACCTAGATTCTATAATTAACATTGTGGTATATGTGCTTGATCACATATCTATCCACATATCCATCCTTTCATCCATCTCATTATAAGCAGCTGCAGCTTACATGCACAACCAAAGAAAACTGTAAGCAGCTCTTCTCAGAGGATGTACGCACCTGAGTGAACACAATGAAAAAGTCTTATATGTGCTCTTTTCTCAGTTCATCTCAGTTGCTGAAGGATCTCACAGTGCAAGCTTCCACTTTTTCAAGATATATATTTTGTACTCAATATGAATACTAAACACAAGCCAATTCATTTGTCTGCCCCTGAAACAAAAGAAACAGTGTTGCAGTCTGCAACAGAAACAGTGTCCTGTGGCCAGCTCTGGGGAAATATTGGCTGCTTTGGTCTTCTTGAGACAAGCCTCTAAGAGGGTGCCTTACTAAGTGAGCTCAGGGATCGTTTGGACGGCCTCCTGGCTCTAGAATCGAAGCCCTAGGCAAGATGCAATGCTACTGTACACTACTGAACTATGTTGACATATTTCTACCTAGATTTAGTTAAATTATGTTACATCTATAGAACAGGATACTCTGCAACCATTAAATACAATATTGTAAAAGACTGAAACCCCAGTGAAGCTGGGATCTGCATGATCCACATCAGGAGGCACAACAGCCAACTAACACAATTCAGCAGCCAGAAGGAATACAACATTACTCCCGTTCTTTATTTGTTCCTCTCAAACGCCATGAAGAGGACACATAGTCCACGTATCCCTTTGTTGAGTTCAGCCACTAAGGTTTTGAGCTTGTTTGTTACTGCAGCAAAACATGCCCTGACTGATACACTTTCTTCCCTGGTCCTCCTCCTCCTCCTCCTCTTCTTCCTCCTTCTCCTTCTTCTTTTTCCCTCTCCTCCTCCTCCTCCTCCTCCCCCCTTCCTCCTCCTTCTTCTTCTGCCCTCTCCTCCTCCTTCTTCTTCTGCCCTCTCCTCCTCCTTCTCCTCCCCTTTGTGTTTTTCTTTCTTCCTCCCTCCCTTTCTCCCTCCCATTCGCTCCCTCCCTCCCTCCTTCCCTTCTTCCCCACTCTGCGTCTGCGTGCACAAAGAACCAAACTAGGAAAGAAAGAACAGCTCCTCAGAGGATTAGGGAGAGGAAGAAACTGAACTGACAAAGCAGACATCCTCTAGAGAGCAAAGGACAAGCAACAACTTAGAACATTCAAATGTCGATTTTTATCCAGGCACAAGAATACCTTATGACTGGGTGGATATTAAAAACGTATTAGTGAAAAGGCAAGTTTCACAGCATTGCTCCAGAAGCTCTCCGTGCGTTTATATAACGTGTATAAACCTTTACTGCTCATGTTACTCTTGGTTATGATTTACGCACGGGTGTGGGTGTGCATGGAAAGCACCATGACCCTCAAGCAATCTTCCCCCTTCTGAGTGGGGGACATTTAGCAATGTCTGGGGACATTTTTGATCATCACAACTGGGGGGAGGAGTGCTACTGGCGTTGAGTGGCTGGAGGCCAGGAATGCTGCTCAACATCCTACAGGGCACAGGTCGGCCCCCACCACAAAGCATGATCCAACCCCTGATGCCAGTAACGCCAAGGTTGGGAAATCTTGGTGTGGCAGATGCTGTCGATGGCCCTCTCGTGTCCCTTTGGCGTTCATCTCTGCATGCTCAGGGTTGCTTATTGCAGACACCTGGGACTCTGTGCCTGTGAGCCTCTTTCTGCCCGCAGGACACGCCTGACTCATGAATAGGGAAAGCTGGCGGTTCCAGAGAGTAATGGCCCTTGAGAGCAGCCATCAACTAATGACTGATGGGAGCTTGTGGATAAATGTCCCAGCTCCCTTGTCCCTGAGGTGTGATGACTCTGAAGTGTGTCCTATGCTGTGTCCAAGAGTTCCCCAGTGGGACGAACCCCACAGTGGAAACCAGTGGAAAGGATTATGCACCCTTTACTGCCTGCCTTCCCTCCCCTATCTCACTTCCCCACTGACCTACTGGTGTTTCCTGGGACCACTCCTCAAGTAAATTCCTTACACTTGAACCCTTGTCTCGGGGTCTGCTTCTGTGGGACCCCAAACCAAGACACATGGAAGGACACCAAAACATCATCAGTGAATTTTCACTAGATTGAGCAACTATGTGTAACTTCTATTTTCTTCTTTTGCATATGCATATTTTGTAAATTTTCTACAACAAAAATGTATTCTGTAATATGAAAAAAAATGTTGTGGTAAAATATACATAAAATAAAATTTACCATTTTAACCATGTTTAAGTGTACAGATCAGTGGCGTTAAGTACATTCACATTGTGCAACAATCACCACCATCCAACTCTAGAACTTTTTCATCATCCCAAACTGAAACCCTGTACCCATTAAACAATAACATCTTATTCTCCCTTGCCTAGCCCCTGGTAACCAGTATTCTACTTTCTGTCTCAATTAATTTGACTATTATAAGGATCTTGTATGTGTGGAATCATACAATATCTGTCCTTTTGTGTCTGGTTTATTTTGCTCAGCATAATGTCTTTAAGTTTCGTCCGTGTTGTAGCGTGTGTCAGAGTTTCATTTCTTTTTGAGGCCTAATAACATTCCATTGTATGTATACACTTCATTTTATGGGGAAAGGTTTTGTCATAATGTCTTTATCCTCTTCCTGACTTGCTGGCTTTTCTCTTCTCCAAAGCTAACAAAAACCATCCTGGTATTTCCTTTGATGTTTCAGGTTCGAAAGTGGTTTGGACAGATCATGAAATTTAAATCTGAGTCTGAGACTTACACACTTTCCACCAGGCCTGGCCCAGACTCAAAACCCAGCAAGGTAAGAGGACTTGTCACCTATTCTTTGTGTTTGACCCCTTGATGCCCTGAGCCTTCATGTCTTAGTACGAGCTTCCTTCCCTGGAAGGTACCAAGCAGGGCTCTTTTCCTGATGACCTGGTTTGCACTCCTCATTCTCACTCTATCGTTCCTCAGTGACTCTTCCTTGCTCACTAACAGTGCTTAAGCTGGCTTTTGTTTATATTCTTGTCATTCAAAGTATGGATAAAACATATCACCAGCACCACTACCATCTAGAGTATAACCTTTTGGGGGAAGACTTACAATCATGGACATAGAGTGGTCATCATCCTGAAACCCCACTATCCCATAGGAAGAGGGACGTGAGCCCAGTGGAGTTGCTGGACCCCACGGAAAGGGCTCCAGGAGAGGGACCTCCCAGGTGCTCTACATAATTACAGGGGACGAGTACGTGGAATAATGGGACCTTCCTGGGAGAGGAAATGGTCCTGTTGGAAAGGGGACTTCTCTGGAACTTGGTGGCTGGTCTTCATCTGTTCTTTCATTGAGCTAACTCAGGCTCAATGCACCAAGGAATAAGCCTCCAGCACTATCTGAGCTTTCTCTCCATACTTGTCCCTTATTTGCTCTTAGAGAAATGAGAGAACATACTTGTAAGAAAGTATGTCACTAGATGAGCAGGATGGGCTCCAAAGCTCATAATCCACGAAAATTCTCCCCATCTCATTTGGTTTTATGCCTCCCAAGTGCACATCCACCACATCAGCTTGCCAAAGAGCCTTAGAATATGTTATTTTTAAGCTGAACAAAATTGAGAAATTTCTGATCCATCATCTTCTACATTTCTTGAGATGATATGTGATTTTCTTCAGCAGTAGAAATATTGAGGTCACTGAAGAAAGGTCTGTCCCTTATTGGAGGGCAGGAAGGGGAATTCATTCTAAATTTTTCCAAAAAGACCAAAAGGAAAACAGGACCAGGAAAAAGGGGAAAACATCTTAGCACGTGTCAGGTGATTGGAGAAAATGTTTATGAATATTAAGCTTAATCATTTGCAATGAAAATAAAATTGTGGTAAGTGCTAACCATTGGCTGTGACCTTTGAAAAGCTTCCCAGATAATCCAAAATAACTCCCAAAGATGCCAGCACTCCAGCTACTGGTTTCCCACAATAAATAAGGAAATGTTTCTTTATCATTGCTTAACATTATGGAAATTGAATAAGATGAGTGTATCTGTAAAAAGGGAATATATTATATATTTTATGTATATTATATATATTTATTTTTATATTTTTATGCATATAAAATACATTAGCTCCCTTTAAGAAATCATTTGCTTTGATTAAAATAATCTCTTAAGCTTTTATTTTTCATGCACATGTTATTAGTAAAAAGCTAACAAAACCCTTTCTCCTCTATGGACAAATTTGACCTTGGGTTTACTTTCTGGCTCTATTCCCTAGAAACTTGATAATGTTGGAGGGGCAGTTCTGTGAATGAACCACAAATACCAGGAGGGAAGGTACAGCTTGGGACTTTCTGCGTACAATGACTCATATTTATATTTGCCAGGAACTCCATCTTCACTGGCTGCTACAGGAGATATTGGTTCCCCTGTGGAACTTGGGGCTTCTAAACCCAGCTGTAGCTTGTAGGGGGCAAATAGAATGTTTGTTGAGTTCTACAATGTGTCAGACACTATGGTAGGCAGGGGACATACAAAAAGTGACAAGACCAACACAGTCCTTAACTTCATGGAACTAAGAGTCTAGCCTGTCTTAGACAAAAACCAACACCCCAAGGGCTGAAATTCTAGAGTGGGATACTACTTCCAAAAATTTTTCCAAAAACATTCTTCATCCTGGGTTTTTGAGAAGTCCTCCCCTTATAAACTAAAGAAGGCCATACCTGTCCTAGGATTCCAAAATGCTAGGAGATCATGCCATTCTTGCCTGCTGGATGGAGCTCTCTGGCTTTAACCCACTCCTGCTCTTTCTTTCTGTTTTGTTGTTGTTGTTTGGTTGGTTTGTTTTATCTTTACATCTACCTTCAATCTAAACATCTTTTGGGGGGGGGGATTCTTTTCCAGAGCAAGTGAAGAGAAAATACAAAAACTAGAACATTCAACTCCACATGGATCTGTTTTGCATCATGAAGAATGAAGCTAGGGACAGGGAGACTCAGGACACATGTCATCCTTGAAGAGGAAACGTTTCACCTTTACTTCATGAGGTGCTTGTTCTGCATAATGAGTTCTCAATAAATGTGTGTTGAACTGGATTTCTCTTGGCTATGATGTGTTCAGCCAGTGTTTGTACCTGGATACACAAATCATGACCATTGCAAATACTCCCTTGACTTTTTGTAAATGGGGAGGCTCCTTCCAAGGCCTTTCCTCAAGTTCTTACTCTCACTCATTCTAAACTTGCTCCTTAAACTCACCCAGTCCCTCAAGCCATCAGCTTCTCCCAAACCATTAGCTTTACCTCCTTTCGTATCCAGGCTAAATCTCATGATCAACCAGGTCAAATGGTTCTCTCTCATTCTATCAGCACCTTTGCTTCCTCATTCTGATTCCATACGTACCTAGGGAAATCTCACACCAAGACTGATCCAACATGGAAGTCACCGTGGATAGTCTACTCAGCAGCCATCCCCACCACTACATGTTCCTTATTAGCAGAACCTTCCGATTTGGGGAAGCAATGTGCCTGAACCCAGGGGGTCAGTTGAGACTGGTCTAAGCCCTATGATTCTCAGCTGGGGGTGATTTCCCTCTCCCCCTCAGGGACATTTGGCAATATCTGGAGAACATTTTTGGTTGTCATGACTGGGGCAGGGGGAACGATACTGGCATCTAAGTGGTAGAGTCCAGGGATGCTGCTAAACATCCTACTCTGCACAAGACAGCCCCTAGACACACAAAAAAGAATTACCCATCCCCAAATGTCAGTAGTGCTGGGATGGAGAAACCCTCATCTAAACTAAACCACTATGGTCTAAACCATAGTGATCTCATTCCTATTTTCTAGAGATTGATTTGGGGTGGGCATTTGGACCAATTCTATCCAATGAGATATAAGAAACACCTACTGGAAAGTGCTTTTTCTCCTTGATGAAAACAAAAACAAATTCAAAGACAACCTGCTCATGACTTCCTATTTTGGGCTGTTATATAATATGATGCTTGGAGAGAAGACGTCATGGAAATAATAAGGATGGAAGAGTGGAAAGACGAAAATAATCTGGGCTTTTATGACATTTTTGGGTGGCTGAACCAACCCTTGGACTTTTCCCTATGTAAGACATATAAATCACTACTTTTAAGCCACTTTGGGTCAGGTAATCTGTTGCTTGCAGCCAAAGCATCCTTCCTTATGAACCAACCATTTCTCTTCTCCACTCCTCCATCAAAGCGGTGAGACCCCAGAATCACTCAGCTTTGAGCCATCACAAATGTGCCCTTTCTGATCTAAACAAGACTCTTCATGGTACTTGGAACTTGCTCTTCCTATCCCTACTCAAGTTGCCCACATGAGGAGTTCTAGTTTTTCACTTCCTTCCTCAATCCTCATGACCTTTCCCTTTACATAAGGGAGAAGACTTTGTCTCCTACTTCACAGAGATAATAAACACCAGCTGATGGAAACTCCTTTAACTTTCTGACATCCCTTACAAATATACCCACATCCACACCCATCCTTGCTTCCTTCTTTTATCGATGCCCATCATCTCCTGCCCCGTTCTTTCACAGCAGCAGAGTGGTCCCTCCTCCTGTTTAAAGCTAACCTCTCGCTCTGTGCTTTGGATCACGTCCCCTCCTTCCTCTTTGGCAGAACTTTCTCCATCGACTGTCTTCTCTCTCTCCTGAGTCTTTCCCTCTCTCACATCCTCTCTCCTCATTCCTCCCCAGTGGCATTTAAATATGGTAAAGATGGGACAGTAAACTTTTTCTGTAAAGGGCCAGATAATAAATATTGTAGACGCTTTAGACTTTTCAGGCCATACATAGCTATAGAGATAGATAGATGATTGATAGATAGATAGATAGACAGATAGGTAGATAGATAGATAGATAGATAGATAGATAGATAGATAGATAGATAGATAGATAGATAGATGATAGAGGTACACACACACACACATAATATATACATGTATTAAGAGATATATGTGTATATCTCTTAGAAAAGTAAAAACCATTCCTAGCTCACTGGCCATACAAACACAGGCTGCAGGCAGGATTTGACCCCTCAGGCTATAGTTTGCTGTCCCCTGTGCTAAAGAAAGAGAAATGGCAGATTGTGGGAAAATGGCCACTGTACATGTCTCCATTCTCCTCCACTCCCTTCCCTAATATGTCTGCCTCTTTGAACCAAAAGTCTGCTAGGACCCATGGCAGCTGGGTGGGAGTGAGGTATCTCTGGGGAAATCCCCAAAAGGAAATCTGAGGTGGAAATGTGTCCCCCATGCACCAGGTGGAGAGCCCCAGGACAAGCTGAAGACTGCTCTGGGGTGAAGACCAGACACAATCCATCCCAGAAAGAGTCTGGCCCACAGGGGTCCACGGACCTCTTGGGATAAGGTCAGCATCACTCCCATGTGTGTGTGTCTGATCCCTCTGGCCCCCAAGAACTCCAAGAGGAGTCCTGCTCCCAAATCAAGAAGGATGTGAGGATACTGGGGAGCAGGGAGGCACCTCTGCGTGCCTGCCTGCTGCCCACGTGGACCCCACAGGATGGAGCATCCGTCTCCTCCATCAGTTGGGAAACTGCCGCTGCTTAGAGTTCTCAACCCCTAGATCTGAGCCCCAAAGAAAAATGACAAATTGTGAGAGGGCCCAGCAGCTGCAAAGAAGATATTGACATCAACATAACTGACACCCAGCAAAATAGAGTTTCTCCTGGAGAAGACAGAAAACAACTTTAAACAAGAATAATATAAGAAGGTAAGGAGATTCAAGTACAGAGCCATAAAGATCCATGGAACTAAATAAAAAGGGAATAAATAAAAAGAGGAATTTTGCGGGACGAAGTGAAGAAGAGGGTGATCAGAGCCA